ACACACACACACACACACACACACACACACACACACACACTCCCCCCATCAAGTCCCTTCACAAATGCAAAGTCATCACTAGAATTAACTCAAGGAGCAGTCAGGGGAGCTGGACTGTTCGAAAAAAATCATATTCATCAGCAACCAGTCAAAAATCTAATTTCACTGCAGGAACAATTGGGCTTTTTGCTGATGTAAACAATAATATTTCATCAGTGAGCTTTCGCAGGTGTTCATCAGGGGTAATTAAGTGCTCATTAACAGAGGACGGATGGTTCAGTTCCTGTCAGAGCACATACAGTCAGCAGTGCTGTTTGTTCTCCTGCAAGCCTTTATTTGTCCTCCTGTGTGTGGAGAGAACAGGAAGCAGCAGACAGTGTTGATTAACCTGCTCCGTCACAGTTCCCCATCCTCACGTGTTTCATGTTTTCACTTTTCATTTTGTCCTTGGTTTATTTTTCTCCATCATTTATCACCAAAATATACATTTCATCACCAAGGACATTTATTAACTTTCCCTTTTATTCAGGTCAGATTTAATGTGTGTCCTGTCCTTAAGTTCAATACAAGTTTGTTTTGCAACACTTTTTATTTATGCATTACTATGTTTCTTATTTGAGATGGTGCATTTTATGTAATTTTGCCTTAATAGTTTCCTCTGTTCTGTGTTTTTCTCCTTTAATTGTGTTTACCAGGCATGGCTGACTGAGATCCATGAATATGCCCAGCAGGATGTGGTGCTTATGCTGCTTGGAAACAAGGCAAGACACATAGAGTTGTTACTAAAGTAACCTTCTGTGCTTAAATCATTTGTCCATTTAATTTTCAAATGACGAAGCACACAATTTTCCTCAACCACTTCTAAGTTTATTTAAATATACTGTATATTTTTTGCTTCTATTAAATCAAGTTTCTCATAGTTTTTGAAGTGTCTGAGGCAAAATTCATATCTTTTTTTTAATTTAGTTAGATCAGTGTTTGTACCTGGACACTATCACCGGATTATGTTAGAAAACAAGAGCAAAAACGGTAAACTACACTGACAGGTTGGTAATGTGTTATCTGTGCGATACTCAAAGTGTACCATCTTTGGCCAGATTGAGAAGATTCTCAAAGCTTGACTCTAGAAGCGGAGGAAGAGACTGAACACCAGCAACTGATTATTTGTTTGTGCCATATACTGTATATTATGCAGGAAAAAAATTAATATAGAAACAAGAAAATCATCAAAGACAAACGACCATTATCTTAATCACGCAAACTCTCTTAAGTCATGAGCTTTAAGATAAATCCAAATCCAAGTAGCAGTGTTTGCTACTTGCTACAACCCAACAAGCAAAAGTCCAAGAGGTTTGAAAGTGAGGGAAACAACTTTAGAGTTTATGTGCAGGCCATGAGTAACGAGACGCAGAGGCACAGTGTTTCAAAATAGGCAGCTGTGAAGCCTCCGACCAGGTCCAACCAGAGCAGGTGATGTTCAGCAGAAGAATTCTGGACAGAGTAGAGCTTCAGGCTTTTTTTCCTGAGCAGCAGGTTTTTATAGCTCCCCATCAGTTCCTGGCCAACTCTTTGGTTTCTACAAAAAAAAATGCCTGCTCCTTCTGACACAACCCAGCCCTGTGTAGACAGCGTCTATATCCTGATATTAAAAGTATTTACTACTGAACTAGATTTAGCTAAATAAATGAATGTCCAGTTAAACTTTCTACATCACTTCCATAGTGTCTTAGTGGCAACCGGAGTGGTGTTAGACGCAAAGGTGGTCTTTTGTTAATTAAATAAATAAATAAATAAATAAATAAAATAAATAAATAAATAAATAAATAAATAAAAAAGAGGAAAACTTAAAGCAAAGTTTTCTCAAGTAAGATAAAAGACGTAAGAGGCGCATCATCCTTTAACTGGTTTAACTTTATATTTATGTTTGACTGTCAGTTTGATCTTTAACTTTTGCTTTGTTGGTGCAAAAATACCCATAAACGGAAACCATGTGTTAAAAATAAAGCAAGCGTACAGAAATTGACTTTCAAGATCTTAAAAAGGCCTAAAGATGATTGCTGTAAGAGATTACAGGACACTCTGACAGCTTCAAAACAAACTCTGAAAACACTGGAAGGTGACTCAGGGCTTTCTCTGTTTGTGTTAACTTTAAATTAAGCTTGTTATTTGGGTGGGAGAAAAAAACTCCTATTTGAAAGTTGGCAGACGGAGGTGAAGTTTGATGTCGTGACACTGTTTTTTGTGTCTCCAGGCTGATGCCACTCATGACAGGGTGGTGAAGAGAGAGGAGGGGGAGAAACTGGCAAAGGTAAACAAATGGGAAATGAAGAAAATGTGGATCAAGGCTTCTTTAAAAGCACTGTTTACCATCGAACTAAGTTGGATCACCATGAATATTAGAAAAATGTCCAGATGTCTTCTGGGCCGTTCAATTTTTTTACACTTGCTCATTATGATATATTTTTTAAAAAGGGTTTAAATGTTTCTTCTTGGTAAATTAAAGCTAAAATATTTCTATATTTATAGTTCCCAATATGTCATGTAATCGATGTGTGTACCACTGGAAAATATTCACATTCGACTGTTTACATTTTAATTGAAGTACTTCCACCGATGACCCACAAAATCTAAACAGCAGTCTCATTATTTACAGAAATGGGAGAAATAATTAAAAGGCTAAGCCATGGCTCAGTCTAGAAGGATAAAAGATGCACTAATTACTGTCTCTGTTTAAGTCCTCTTTCAGAAAGAAAGTTTGGAAACTTCATTTTAGAGTTAAATTCCCCAGAATAAACATATAAACAAATCAACAGAGCCCTTAAAGCTTAGCTCTTTTCAGCTGAAATGTCTGCAGTGTTGTGGCCGAAGGGGTGAAAAGAAATAACCATTAATTTTTTTGACTCTGCAGGAATTTGGGGTTCCTTTCATGGAGACCAGCGCCAGATCAGGTCTGAACGTAGAGCTGGCTTTCACAGCTGTGGCCAAGTGAGTCCAATCCTCTCTGAAAGGGTTTGAGACGGGCTTAGTTCTGAGATCATTAGAATACCGAATATTAACAGCATTCTTATTCATTAACCACGTTAATATTAAACAGTTGGTTCTTATTAAGAACAAAACAATCTGTGCAATTTTTCCATATAATAATAAACCTGAATAAATATCCCCAGCAGCCTAATTTGAAGCATTCTGACAGAATCCTGCTGCTGGTTTTGCAGCATTATTAACAAGCTGTTCTGTTATCTTGACCTGTGTTCGGTTTAGAAAAGACTAATAAATGGCTAAATTGTGAAGATTTTTCAGGGTTTATGAGCGTAACTAGACAGGTGACACACCATCTCATAAAACAGGAACAGGCTTCACCTGGTGGCACAGTCAGGAACTACACAAAGCTCAAAAATCTTTACTCAAAACGGAATTTTTAGGCAGTTTAAAATATGACACTTCCCCCAGTTTAAACAAGAAAACCTTCAAAATGAAAGTTAAATTGTGCCAATAGCTTTAAATCTAACACGTCTTTTTTTTAATCCTATGACTTTGTTCCACAGAGAGCTGAAGCACCGGTCAGTAAAGGATCCCAGTGAGAAGTTTAAGCTCCAGGAGTACGTAAACAAAGAAGTGAAGGGTGTGGGCTGCTGCAGGTCCTAAACGCCTTTAAGTGAGTGTCCACGCGTTGACCTCTCCTCTTTCTGGTGTTCAGATCTGGACTCTTAAAAGATGAGGAGTCAGCTTTGTGGAGATATAAACCTGTTTCTGTCTCTTCACGCACCTCCCCTGTTCTCCTCCTCATGCTTCTCTTTTCCTGCCTCTGTCTTTTGTTTTGAATGTAGCCCAAGGTTACAGCTTGAAAAAGCAAAGACAGCACCTCTTCAGTTAGCTCCCCATTAAACAGACATCCAGAACTGTAGCTGCACAATCATCGTTTTTTTTAACCCTGAAACAGAATGCATTGCCTTGTGTTTGAATGCATTTTAAAAGAATTTAAACCCAACATGATTCAGCTCACTGGAGACAAAATGCATGTTTTGTAAAGTGGTTTATTTTCCACAGGTACAGGTATATCACTGGCAGCTTTAATTAAAACATTGTGGATGACTCTACGTATAGATGTTTTGTGTCATTGGTTTTTCTGCCCATGTTTCAGTGTTAATACTGTATAAGAAGTAGTTCAACAGGCACCAGCATAAATTCTAAACATTTCCACTGGGATATTTGGGTTATTATTGCATCTCTCAAAAACACTAAATGGACTGAGCAGTTTTGAATACAAAAGTTTTGAAATAAACATTTAGCATTATTTAATTTTGAAACAATAAATGTAAAATAAAGTATCATGCATCTTTATTTAATCCTAACTGTACACTTGTTTTTCGATTTCTTCAAATAATTTAAAATCTAATGGCCAAACATTTAGAATCTACACACTGTGGGAGTTTGACAAAAGCTGTAAATATGTATTTTTTTCCTACTTAAAAAAACTTCAGTAAAAAAGAACTAAGTTTCAGTGGAATTGTGAATAAGATTTATGGAGAATTCTGGTTACCATGTGTTGTATATGTAACTTAAATGTCTCCACTTCAATGTAATATTTTAAATCCTTGTTAACCGCTGTTTTGTATTTTGTTCCTTTTCATTAAATCATATATAAAATATAAGTGAGGGACTTGTGTTTTCATTTCTTCTATTTCATAAAAAACAATAAGAAATGGACCAATATTTATCTGTAAGCAATCTTGTTCTTCATGAATAAAATGTGGCATTTGCAGAAAATCGTATATAAAAAGACTCTAGCATGTTTTTTTTTTTTTCAAACTTAATGCTGAGGCTTTATGTCGTTCATTCAATTTTATTGTGCAAAATTCCTGTATTACTACATATAATAATAATAGATGTTTGTGGAACGTTACATTTTATTAGCAGTCATGTTTTGTATTCATACACAAAACAGCCTGCAAGTTAAAAAAAATTGTAATAATTAGTTTCTACTTGCACTTTAAGGCAGGGCATGATGTGCTCGACTCTTCAAGTTTAAATAAAAGCCTTGCACTCCCTCATGCTCCTGTAACACCCTCGTGACCTTTTTCATTGTTTGCACAAAGTGTGTGTACACTTCAGTAAGCACAGGTTCGATGAGTTAAAGGAGCTGCAGGAAGTTTTATTAATTTTTAATGAAGACTTCAGGGTGAGTTTAAAACCTTTGCTTTGTCTCCCCCTGCTGGATGAAAACAGCCAAGAGACAAAATAAAATGCCAGTTTTAACAATTTTGTAACCAGAAAAGATTTTTTTAAAAAAGACAAAACATTACTTGGATACATCATCATTAATGTAAAATAAATGAAAAAACAGCAAATTAAACAAAAAACAATTAATTAAAAAAGCCTACAAATGTAGTATAAAATATGCAAATGAATGTGTGTGAGCAGTTATCTAAACCAGATTCTTAACCCTTGGGCCGTGATCACCAACAAATCTGTTTTTCAGCTGTGGGCTGTGAGGGCCATGTCATTGGTTTTCAATTGGCTGCGTTGCAATACACTTTCTCACCACTAGTAGTAGTAATTTACCATTCAGATGTTTGATAACTTTTTTTTTAATAAGTAGGAGAACCTTAGCCAGCCACTAGCAAAAAAATCAGAAAAATGGAAGCTTTTAAAATACAAAAGTTGAAGCCAAAAAATGAAGAAAACCTGCCATAAAAACCAAACATGTATGGAACCTGAGGGTGGACATTTTTCACAAATAATTTTTTCCCATGGTTTTCTTGAGGTTTTTTTTTTTCATTATCACAGACAAACTCATGGTGTTCTGTGTGAAACACAAACAATATAAATTTCAAGAAGGGCCCATGATCTCAGATAAAGTTCATCTCAAAGACTAGTTGTAAGTCACTGTTCTACCTTTCAATAAATATTTAACAATCTAATCTTTTTATTAATCCTAAGCATTTTGAAAAATACACTTCAAATGGCTGGAAAATGCATAGTTTTGAGTAGATTTTTTCTTTACTTTCTTGCTTGTTAAACAGTAAGTAACTGTAAATTGATTTATAATGCAAATACAATTCAAATTAAACTAAGATTTCGATCAATAAATACCGATTAATGGCCTCATGTAATTTTAGACATAAGTTGAGCCTCAAGGTCAAAAAGGTTAAGAAGAACTGCTCTGAAATGCAAACTGAATTAAAGTCAGAAATTTATTGATGCTTATTTATCTGATAAAGAAGAACGTCACACTTGGATTACTTTACACATGAGCAGCAACAGTTCTGTCTTCTTTCAGGTTTAGGTCACGTCACCAAACAAAAGTCGCAATTTGAGTGACTGGTTCTTCATGCAGGTGAAGTGTAGGAGAGTCGATCGCTCCTTTGGAAGTTCTTGCACTAGAAGTTGTCCAAGCACAATCATGGTTTGTGCTTAAAATAGGCTTCAACTGCAGACAAGATTAACATAAAGAACACATCAAATTCATGCTGTGACAAAATGTTCTGAAAAAGCAAAACATATGGACTTTATTATTAAATTTACTTGCATACTCCTGCGGTAACATTGGCTTGTTGATGACAATCTGAAACGCTGCAATCCAGTCCTGCTGATCCTGTTCGGTCTCACAGGCAAAGAGGAACTTTCTGTCCGGAGTCACGATTGTAATTCCAAATTGCCAGTGGTATCCCTGAACGTTGGGAGGAAGGCCGGGAAGAACAGTGTAGCTGTTCTCCTTACTGCCGATGAACACCTCACCTCGAGCGTACGCATCCTGAAGGAGAAAAAATTGTGGCTTTTAAACTCTTGCTTTGTTTTTTTTTTAAGTCATTATTTTTAAAGTGATACACTCCGTTCAATTGAGGTCTAAAATTATCTGCAACAGGTAAGATATTATCAGTTCATAGCCTTTCCGAAAACTGAAAATTGTCCTGTTAGTCACCAGCAGCATCCATGGGTAATAAATTAATTATTTCCCAGTTGTACAAACCATTGGATCTTTGAAGTACATGAGCCTCCTGTCATCCATCGTAAACCACCTCTTCTTGAAGCCCTCTGTGTGCTGCAGGACAGAACCAGAAAAGGTTAAAAACACTTTGAAAGCATCATTATAAGCTCTACTTTATGTTTTATTCTAATACAACATATCCTGTTGGTAAAAAAAAAAAAACACAAACGAGCCAAAAAAATGCAAAGTATATCACCTTTGGTCCAGTCTTCTCCATGTAGCCTTCCTTCAGGTAGTTCCTGGTTAGCTTTGGCGACAACTACACAAATTAAAAGAAGACATTTTCTTACGATAACGGATTGCTGCATGAGGAAAAATGTTTAACTTGAGTCACAATTATATAATCTCAATTCAAGTTTTACTGTTAAGTACATCAAATTTACATCTGTAGAAATACATTTTTGGTTGTGAAAGAAACTCTGATAGTTAAAGGTTGGATGAAAAGCTATTTAAATGACAAGGAGTCCGTTTGTGCTCTGCCACATTTTTATCTCATTCAGCAGAAATACACAGCAACATCCTCTAAGCGGAAATGGGATCATTTTTTGCTGCGGCCGTATTTCATTCAAAACCACAACGTTTGGGTGTGAGTAAAGAGGACATGGGACTGTTTAACCAGGTTTTTTTAAGTTCAAATGGTGCAAACCTTTCCAAAAATGGTAAAAATGCATAACGCTCTGTCAAAAATGCTTTGGTTCAGATTAACTGGGGTAGAAAACTGCTTGTCTATAAAGTCAATGGATGATTTTAAATTGATATTCTTGTCTTGTGTCAAATAATTGGAACATGAAGGAGTTTGCTTGTATAATTCTGAGCATTTAAATGTTTTTTTTCTCATCTCCATGACTGTTGAACCTCAGTTAATGTCTGCAACGAGTTTAATACAAACTAAAGCAACTGCAGGTTTTTGTAAGATTGCAGCTGCTGCAGGAACATTTTGTTTTGAGCACATTTTACATTAGGTACACTTCAGACACAACTTAATTTAGTTCTCAGCTGTTGCTGTTAATAAAAAATGTGTGCAAATTAATTTTGCACTCTTACATACTTACCTCTGAGTCAGAGGCACCAGGAAAAGCCACCTGCAGGTAGTGAAGTCTGGCAGCTCTGATGCCATTAAACCAGTCCACAATTTCCTTCAGCAAAGGGCAACAAGAGGCAGAATTCATATGGTGACATTATCAGCTCACTCTCAGTCAGCAATGTCTCTATTTGCCTCCATCACAGAGTTCACATAAACTTACTTACAGAAAATATCCAGGCACTTTAAAAATGTGGCCACTTTTATATCATTATTTTTTCCTAAAAAAGTAAATTGTCCTACTGAGCTTTACTAATAAAATCAAATACAAAAGAAACTTACAAACTGAGTTTTAATTACACACGTCTTCCACTAGAGAGAGACATGGGCCCTTCTTTTACTCAAGCACCTGTTCAGTCCTCATTTGGCCATCACTCACCTTCCCATCCTCGTGGTAAACAAAGATATTCCTGGTGCTGTTGTCCTTTAAATAAGTTATCTGCAGCGCATGAGGAGTGCCGATTTTAGCCGGCTGGAAAGTGGCATTCACATTGTCAATCTTCATAATGGCTTTCGGCTCCCGGGCCTGCAGGAATTGTTTAAAAACTATAATTAAGTACCAAAGATTTTCTCTTGAGTTCAACAGAAATGACCTGAATTGTGCCTCAGCCCTGATTTAGTTTGTTTGGATCTTGTAAAATATGTAAAATTTACAGAAAAGAAAAATCAGAAATAGCCACTCACGTCCTGCTTGTTGAAGTATTTCAGAACACCCTCGCGTTCAGACAGAATAAATTTTCTGCTGAGGTATTGTCCATTGTCTCGCCCTCGTTTCCATAGAAACCCCTCTCGGTAGCCTGCCAGGAGTCACAAGAGCCACATTTCATTAGAAAGTACCAAAAATAGATGCAATAAAGTCGAAAAATAACAAAATAAAAATCTACTTGGATCAAAGACTGAACAATTAGAGAAAAATAAATGTAATTCTTGCTGATTTATTTTATCAGCTGACCTGTATTGCATTGACTCGATGTTAGGACCATCAGCCAAATAATCACCTATTGTTCACAGAGGACCATCAGCCAAATAATCACCTATTGTTCACAAAGGACCATCAGCCAAAAAATCACCTATTTTTCACAGAGGACCATCAGCCTGATAATCACCTATTGTTCACAGAGGACCATCAGCCTGATAATCACCTATTGTTCACAGAGGACCATCAGCCTAATGATCACCTATTGTTCACAAAGGACCATCAGACTAATAAACAGCTATTGTTCACAGAGGACCATCAGACTAATAAACACCTATTGTTCACAGAGGACCATCAGCCTGATAAACACCTATTGTTCACAGAGGACCATCAGCCTAACAACTGATTGTCCACCGTGTGGAAGTGCTGGTTATAAGGCTGAGTTTATCTCAAACTCCTCAGACTGAAGAAGCCTCCTGGAGGAGAGACGAAAC